TCTTGTAAGTTGTCCTCTGAGCTCACCCCTACATGTCATGTCTGTGCTCCCCCCCAAATGAATAAATAAAACTGTAATAAAAGATACTCCCCCGGACAAAAAATATAAAATCTGGGAGTTGGTGGTGAATGCCTTTAGTCCCAGTACTCGGGAGGCAGAGACAGGTGGATCTCTGTGAGTTCTAGGCCAGCCTGGTCTATAGAGTCAGTTCCAGGACAGGCTCCAAAACAATTCAAGGCCAGCCTGGTCTACAGAGCCAGTTCCAAGACAGGCTTCAAAACAATACAGGGAAATCCCGTCTTCTCAAAACAAAACAAAACAAACAAACAATGATAAAACCCCAACCCAAAACATATCAGAACACACTTGCTAGGGGTCTGCAACCTAATTTGTGGGCTTTTAAGAATATTTGGGAGGTCAGCATGGTGTTGAGAGAGTACTGCCCTGCATCCTGACCTGTAAAGCTAGCTGTGTGAATGAGGCCAAGACTCAGAGTGTTTCTGAAAAGCAATGATAATTGGAGTATTTCAGAGAATCTTTATAAGGACTGGGTAAGAAAATAACATGCCATAATAGTACAGGATCTACTCACAATATTATGCAGTAAACATCACACCACACCTTCCAAGATTCCCTTGGAGCAGGAAATGGTACTGGATGTTTCTGTCTTGGCTGCTTCCCTGCTTTTCCACACTTTCTTTCTGTTCAACCCTTTAGATACTTCCTCAAGGAGCCTCCCCTGACTTATTCAGGTTCTGTCTGAGCTCAGGGTCTCTTGAGCAGAGGCAAGGAAAGAATAGTAACTGCTGTCTTTGCCTAAATTCTACCAAACACATCTTTTGAGGTATGGAGGCTTTTTCTAGATTGTAATCTTCAGTATATGAAATTAGAATATTAGGATATATTTATATATGGGCACTCTTGCTATGTGTGTGTAGTGGCCAGGGGACGATGGCTGTGCCAACAGATTGAAAACCATGACCTCTGAATGTACCACCTTGACCTCCATTCTCTCGGATTTTCAGATGACGTCCAGAATCTTTTAAAGTTGAGAGGTTCAAAGTGTTAAACACCTTCATCATTATCTGACTCTTTCGTGATTCCCTGAGCAGTTGGTGTAGTAAGCGCTTTTGATGAATTTCTAATGGAAATGGGTTTCAGAGAGGAGCTGCTGCATTTGCTTTTAGTTTACTGCAGGTTCCCAGCCCCCTTCCTTGTCGGTTTTGAAAGCTCCAGTTGTCCATTGTTCAAGGCATTTAATGCTATGCAGTATGAATCTAACATGAAGTCCACTCGCCAAACCATTAGCCCTGTTCTGGGGGCACCTTCCTGGAGAAGAGCCTCTTTTTCTAATTCTCACATAAGCCCAGGGAAGGATAGCCGGCAAGTGCCCCTGCGGGTTACAGTGACGCTACCGTGGGATGTTGAAATGCTCTGAATGAACTGCAGATCCAGGCCTCGGCTCAAACCCACGCTCACCTTTTCCCTACTTTATCCCAGACAGCGAGTATTTTTAGTCCCAGAAGCTGTAACGAATGTGATTCAAAATCTTTCAGTTATATTCTTTGGGATGCTATTGAGTCAAAACCAGAATTAAATAAAACTAGAAAATATTTTTTTAATGTGTAATGATTACAAATTTATGACAATTGCCATTTCTTCAAATGACATATAAAATAAGAATATAAAATAGGCATCTATGAATTTGATAAAAAAATTTTCCTGGAATACAGGAAACACTCCAGCACAAAAGAAGCTTGATGTAATTCTTCCTCTTTTATTTATTTTGGCATTCTTTCTTTCTTTAATACAAGGTGATATGCAGGCTAGGGTGACCTAGAATTCTCACCCCCTTCTCTTTGTTAAACAGTGAGTACATGGATGGGGTCCCCCCCCTCAGGGGAGATTATGTGGCTGTATTCTCTTTGTTTATCTTTCACTGTGTCTTTATAAAGGAGAATTTCATTTTTCTTCATCCTACATGCTTTAAAAGATAAGACTCCTCCTTTTGTTTAATCCCAGGGTTCTACCCACTTTCTTCCCAACTGACTTTGAACTCTTGATCCTCCTGCCTCCACCTCCCAAGTGCTGAGGCTATAGCTACTGTCAGTGTAACATTTTTATGTAGATCAGCTCTGTTAAAAGCCCAGGCCCAGACCCAGGGTTATGACTGTACCTGCCCAGAAATCTACCCCATCTATGATCTGCTGGAGCACATGAAGGGACCTGACCCACAGACCCAAAGCTGCAGGATCTCCACAACACAGGGCAACAGCAGGATACCCAGGAAGATCCCCAGTGAGCATCCAGCATCAACAGTGTAGAAACCAGAGGCCTTGAACCAGACCAATGACTCTTTGCATTGAACACTTGCAAGTAAAGAAACATGGACAAATGGGTTTACAGCATGACTCGCTGTGTCACACTGAAGCTTCCATGATGAGGTTTTTAAATGTTTCCCTTTTTGTTTTTCTGATCGTTTTTCTTAAATTTTGTTTCATTTTTCATGTGTGTGTGTGTGTGGGGGGGGTGTGTGCAAGGGCAGAGGGCAGACACGAACGGATGGGGAAATGAATGGGATCAAGGTACATGATATCCAAGACACATAGAATAAATAAAAAGAAAGAAAAAAAAAAAAAGAGGGAAGAACCAGGGCACAGTTACAATAAAATCAAAGCAACACCAAATTTCAGAGAGAGAGAGAGAGAGAGAGAGAGAGAGAGAGAGAGAGAGAGAGAGAGGAGAGATAAAGAGAGAGAGAGAAAGAGAAATATAGTTCTCTGACCTATTTTCATTCTCTCCACCTGTTAACATGGCCAGATTTGTTCACAGTTTTGAGTAATGGGAGATGGTTCTGGGAAGCAGGGAGGGCTTTTTCCTGGTGGCCCACGGAACCTCCATAGTCATGACCAAAAGTTAGGCAACTATTGTGCCAAAGCCACTGGGGCTCTGATTTCAGGCTTGATGGCTGCTTGTGTTAAATTCCTAGACAGACCATCATCAACAGATTATAAAGCTTTCAGTTCATGTATACTTTACTTAGGTGTGGCATTTTCTATTTTATTGTATTATTTGATGACCCTTACTGAAATGGGAATGTGGTTGACTCCAAATGCCTCCCTAAACCAAACTGATAGTGTTTTAGCTTTAATCAGGCATTGCTCTGGTCAGCCCAGCCACAATTGGTTGTTCTGTACAACATGGGGGATTGGCCATGTTTCCCTCCATCTTCAGGGATGTCCCCATACTCTGCCTCTTGGTATTCTTGCATGGGCTCTTCAAAGGCAACTTACAGAAGCATAGCCTCCATGTCTTTATAGCTATATATAAGAAAACACAAATTGAAGTCAAACCTCAAACCTGTAATGGTGTGCCAAGGGAATTGAGAATGTCACATTAGAAACTGGCAATACAGCAAGTGTTACCAAATATTCTTTACTTTTTGTATTATTAACTCTTAGAAAATATTCTGAGGAAATAATTGAAAATATAGAAATAGATTGTTAGTACAAAGACTTCACCTCCATTGTCATTTTAATAAAAACTGGATACAGTCTTCATGTTCTATTATAGCAACAGTAAAAAGAAATGGCAATTTTTAATATAATATAAGCTTTATATATAAAATCTTGGATTGTGATCAATGTATGATATCATGTATGATATGTGATAATAAAAGCCAACAAAATGAAAAACAAACAGCCTTTGTAGATTAGGCAGAAAAATGTCAAACCCAGTGCCTTTTAGTTATTTCAGTGACACGTGGGAAGATTGTGCTAAAATCTCCTTTTAGCTCCAGGCTAGAGCTAGGATACTGAGCCTGCTAAAGGTCACCTTGGGAAAGGCACTATCCACACAGGAAGGCAGAGCTGGCGACAACACATCAGCTGCAGCTGTTCCCAGCATCCCACAATTTTCTCAGCTATGCTTTTAGCACAACAACAGTTTCAGATAATTTCCTTAAAACTTCACCCCTCAAAATTATCACAAAGACAGATTTTGGAAGCTTTATCATTTATTAGAAATTGGTTTCACAGGTGCCTAATATTGGTCAGTATTTAGACTATATAATGCATCATGCATACCAAAGTCCCTCAATAATACCAAAAAGCACAGTGAAACGTCATAGCATTTGCTTAGCTTACTAGCTACAATTAAGGCTTATTTGACATTTTTGTTCAACCCTTTTCTTGCTTTTTGCACACTGAAAAATCCAATGGATCTCTCCACTCTCAAACTTTCCTGAGCTCAGGAGCTCTCCATTCTTAGCCAGACTCAACCCATTCCTTGTAGAGGAAGAGTCTTGTGACAACTACATAGATCTCTGTAGATCCAAGGAATGGTTTACTTTAAGATAACCCAGATATTTTTGCTGTTTTATAAAAATATTTCCCCACGGTAAGTATCCATATTGGTAAAAACAAAATCATGGGATACAAATGACTCCATATTCACTATGGCAGGACTGAGGTATAGCTCATTAATATAGTATTTGCTTTGTATGCATAAGGCCCTAGGCCTGATGCTTAGTGCTACACCCAAACCAAAATACCCCAAGATCAGTATGACAACACTTATGATCACCACTCCTCACAAAAACAAAGCCTTGTTCCTGTTATTTTTACTTCATTTGGGCCTCTTCATTAGGCATGCCAAGCGACACCTTTAGGATGACTATCAGAGTTCCCTTTTTGCTCCCCAAGTACTTTAGCCCTTGAATTAGAGAAGGAAGTTGCATACACTGGCCTAGCATTTTGCAAAACATTACGTCATGCATGTTGCCCATAATTAAGAGGTTTCATAGTGTGAAACTTCAGCCCCAGGGTTCCTGGGAAAGGAAGTGAGGGAGGTCTGAGGTGAGTAATCACAAGAGAGGAGATGGGGTGTGCCCTTCAGAAGTCTTTCAGAGCCAGAAAATGCTTCCTTCTGTGATGATAAATCATGACAAGAGAGAGTGCTTTCTCAACTGGACACTTATTCTCCAAATATTTGCTATAGGAGTTCAGAAATCCCCCACAAATTCATCTTGGTTCTAAATATCTGTTTTTCCATTCAGTGCTGATTTTGAGTAATGTGAGTTCCTTTCCCAGCCTTGACGGATGCGCATGAGGGTCTTGTCTATGCATGGCGTTATGAGGATGAACTTCATCACCAAAACTGTGCATGGGATGATGAGGGCTAAAATATAGGCTGAAGGAAGGCTCCACCTTAGGATCCCAGGGCTGAGGAATCTCTTTCCACCATACATCAAAGTGTGGGCTGTGCACAAGACCAGGGTCAGATAACCCAGTTTGGACTATAAACAAAAACCAAAAACATGGGTGTTAACATCGTCCACATCTTAAAGCAAAGCACTTTGTGCCAAGGAAGTTTACTTGTCAGCAAACATAAACACATGACCCTATTATAATATTTAGGACACTGCTAGATTTAGAAAGAACTATAATCTTTCTACAGAATGATAAATATTTCATTAAAAACATAAAAAGATTTATTTATTTGATGACATGTTAGTTTTATCTTCACCTGGCTGGATTAAAAAGCAGAAAACAAAACAAAAAACAGTTCTAGGAGTAAACCCTTTTAAGTTAGGGGGACATAAATACACTGTTTTGATCCACAGAGGAAAATTCTTTTATTGATCACCTTATCTGGAGATCAGAAACAAATGACTTCCAAAGCTCTGCATTCATCTCTGTTACTGGTCAAAACCAGATGCTAGCTGATTTCTATCCCAGGATGAAATATTTCTAAACCGTGGGTCTGGAGTTCTGAGTTCTGAAGCTCAGTTTTTCTTTTCCATCCGAATTCTTTGAATTTGTCTGCGTTTAGCCCCTAGAAGAAACTTCAGGATTTGATAACCAAAGCTAATTTCAGTTACTAGTGGTCTGTTTTATTATAGTATGCATGGGAGTTTTCGGGGGGGGGGGCTTTTCAAACAAACTGTTGGCTTCCACCTCCAGACCTTCTGGTTGCTCAGCTTGGGTGGTGCCTGGGGCTTGTGGCCCAAAAAGTTTCCTAGTGATGCTTCTGTGCTTCTGTGGCTCCTCTGGATGTGACAGGCACTGTGAGGCCCACTGGTTTCCAGGAACAGTTACTACCTTTAATAAGGTGTCTGCTGGCTGATACATGGAAAGGCTGAATTTCTCTCATGTAGACCAGGAATAAGTCTAGGGTAGTGATGCTTATCGAATATTGTTTGGAGTTTTAAGCTTTAGGGTAAATCTGCCTTTTCTTATCAGTATGCCCAGATTGTAAGGTTGAATTTAGAAGGTGAAATTTTGTCTCTGGGGTCTTTTTCACCTTCTACCTGATGCCTTCACACTTAGTTAATAGCTTTGTGGCACTCTTCACTCTATAGTGTCAGGGGTAACTCTGGAGGTAGTCAGGAATCTTGGCAAGTTGTTCTAAGCAGAAAATGAAACCCTTATGGAGTCTGCCTGTCAGGCTCTCAATTCCTTTTCCACAGTGAACAGCTAATGAGATGACTGGGAAATTAAGATGATCAAATGAACAATCAGACATGATAAAAGAGAAAAATAGAATATTTGTAAAAAGCTGTATTCATGTTGCAGTACTAAGACATTTAAATTTGAAACACTTACCTGGACAAACCTGAACTCTCTCCAGTTGACCATGTTGCTTACTGATGGCAGGGAAGTGATTCCCAAGAGAAGAAACAGAAAAAATCCCAGGATTCCCAGTGCCAAGTAGGAATCATTAAGCCAGGCCGTAGAGGTACTAAATGGGTAGTCTTTATTAGTCAGGGCCTATGAAAAGTTAAAAAACAATTAAAATGGATGGTCCCAACACCCCACTCTTTCAGGGGGACTGAACCACACCTCTGCACACATTTCTTGCACAAAGCAAATTGTGTATTTTTCCTTACTGATCACTTAGGAACGGTTTCAAGAAACTACACTTGAAAAGGTAATTGCTCTTCTGTGATTTTGTTATAATTCTCATTTCCAGGGGTCACATAGGAAGTTTTTATTTGCCCTATACATCTTAAAACAAAGCCAATATACATTTCAACCTTCTTTAGCATGGGGCTTTCTGTTTTTCAAACGAAGCACAGTATCCTCAAACAATCACTTTAAACTTTGGTTTTATATTCTGTTTAGGGTATATTCTGTTTCTGTCTCCTCTCTCTCTCTCTCACCTCTCTTACACACACACACACACACACACACACACACACACACACACACACACAGAGTTTGGGCCTTTCATGCTGATTATGTCATAATTCAGCATTAAATCTTTTGTATCACACTGTGAGAGGAATAAGGCGATGTAGTGTGAACCTTACTCAAGAACCTTGCATGCATTTGTTAGGGTAATGTGTGAGGATATACTTGTGGACACAGTGCTGGTGAGTTGGTGACTTGAGACTGCAGCAAGCTCTACCAAGATCATTAATTTCTAAACTGGAGTGGACTTGTAGCATCTCTGCTGTAATTCCTGAAAGGTTACTTGAGTTGATTTTGCCTTTGAATATTCATAAGAGCATATTTGCTATTTTTTAGAATTGTTCAGTTTTTATGGCTATTGAGGACAACTTCTCACAGTCAAATATGAATGGATTTCTAAGTATCCTTTTGTGAAATTGTTGTATTTCTGTAGCACATGTTTGGGCAGACTCCATAGTTAGTAGACAGTGGTTTAGACTTAAAGAAGAAATTTACATAAAAACAGAAGCTTGAAAACTTAGATTTTGTGCTTATTGACTCTTACTCAAAAGAACTCTTTAGTTCCAAACCTGCCAGTTTTTCAGCATCTCTGTGAGTCCAGGATTACAGATCTAGAGCCAAGTTACTCAGCAATCTAACTTTTATTCTCAGTGGTTCTATGTGATCATAGTTGGATTCATTTGCAAGCCCAGGGATAATGTTTCTGATTCTTGATACTTTAAAAAAAAAATGAAAATACTGGATGGATTTGACAATTCATGCCCCTAATCCCAGCACTTGGGAGATGGAGGCAGAAAGATCATGAGTTTGGGGCCAACCAGCCCTAAATCATAAACTATCTCAAACAAAACAAATAACCCCCCCAAAAAAATCCAAAATGAAGAACAGACTTTGGGAAGCAATGCTCTGTAGTTGTGAAATGGATTGTGGTAGAGCAAGACTGTGCTTTGATATAAGGAGTAGAGAAATACAGAGGAGTAGAAATTTACCTGAGTAACGGTTCCATTTCTCAGTCTCCATCGTACATAGTAACGAATAGGAATCACAAGTGTGTAGATGACATGAAGGAAGGCAAATCCCAGAGCTACCAAGCCCAGCTGCTTTCTGCACAGCATCCAATGGTCAAGCCAGTTTGGGAATTGGCGGTATTTTGTACCTCGGTAGAGCTGCAGAATGGCAGCAAGAATACCAGGGAGGTATACCAAAGCAAGCAGGACCAGTGCTGTGATAGGAAAGACACGATTCGGGATGGAAATAGCCAGGCGAAACGTAGTATCTGTCTTCCCATTCACATAGGGATATATCACTTCTCGTATAGCACAGTATACAAAGAAGAAGACACACAGCACAGAAGACAAGTAGAAAGGGAGCCTCCACATAGGAAATAGTTGCAGAGGGTAGCTCTCAATTTCATTGGCTGCCACAAGAGATCCTTGATCCAATGGAGTGAGTCCAAGGGTACGAGCAATGTCCATCACTCTGTGCTTGGCTTTGCTATCATTCCCACAGACAAACACCTAAGTTAAAAGAGTTAGTTTCAGATATTTTTTATTTAATAATAATTATCATTAAACTTTATAAAGTATCATGTGGAAAAAATAACATACTAATGGACCATTTTCAAAACAGAGATATAGAATCAACACATCTAGTAAGATGTTTTGAACCAAGACCATGCTTTTCTGTTGGGTGTGATTTTAGGCACAAAGTGCTGCTATAGGGTAAAGTTCACTGTGACCTAACTAGTCTCATCTTTTTTTGAGTGTGGGCATATATCATTTATGATGATGGCTAATCTCAGTGGCATAAATAAACCCAATTTCACTAAAGTGGAAAGAGTCAACAAGCTGTGAGTTTACTGTATGGGCAAGAGGACTCAGATTCAGACATCATTTGAGTCCATGAAACTTAATAAACATCAAGGCACACAAGACTACACTTCTTATGGAAACCAATAAAGTTGTCCTTAGCACATATTAGAGAATGAAATATTTACTGGGGATTTCATTTTGGATTTGTATTCAGCTAAGTACATATAAAAACATTCACCTTTGAAAGGCTGAATGCAAGTTCATTTAATCTTACCTGCCGACTTGCATCCAGCGTTCCTGACTGGAGAGCCCAGGCTGAGATGGTGTTAAATGCTTTGACCACATGGGCTCCTGGCACCAACTGAGCAAGGTACTCGGCATTCGATTCTGGATACTGATTGATTTTACGGTTGTTGCTGACATCTACCAATATTTTTCCTCTGAGGGGGTCAACCAGTTCTGTGAGGAAATCGTAATGCTCTCTGTGAATGGCCAAGATTATGATGTCAGACTTTGAAGCTGCCTCGGAATAGCTCAATACCTCTGCTCCCCTGGGCAGGAGGCTGGACACCTGGGGGTTTCGACTCCCCAAAATAACAGAATAACCACATTGAAGCATTTTAAATCCCAAGGATTTTCCAAAATCCCCTGTTCCAAAAATGCAGACAGTCTCTTGCTTTTCTGAGGAATTGGTTGTCAGAGGGAACACATCTGCACACGTTTTCTCCATTACTGAAAGCAAACAAAGGAAATTAGAGGCGTGGAAACTCAAAAGGACTTACAGATCATCAGCTTGTAACAGACACCCCCAGACATTAACAGAAAAATGTGCAATGTTTACAATTGCAACTGTGCGTCTTGCCTGGGAATCCAGGCACAATCGGTGTTCAGTGCTGCTGTTTCTATAACTTCACACAATAATCTAAGCTACTCTATTCTTTTGGAGGATAGTATGTCTTTCTTCAGGAAAACTTTTCTCAAATTCTAATTTCTCAAGTTCTAATAGAAACTTTTAGCTAATCTAGAAGCTTGTTTTTGGGTAGGGACTCTGACTTTCAATGATTTAGTTTCTGTCCTGAGAAACTAAATGCACTGGCTAGACAGTTAACAAATATTTGTTGAACATGAGCAGGATGGAATTTGGAAGTCAGAAGGAGCAGGCTCCTCCCTGTGTTTCAGGCAGTGTGTGATAAAAAGGAGACTGAATAATTAAAGTGTAACCAATAAGCAAGAGAGAGAGAGAGAGAGAGAGAGAGAGAGAGAGAGAGAGAGAGAGAGAGAGAGAGAGAGGTTAGAGCAGAGAGGATGTTGCCCAAAGACATTATTTCATTCATTCAAGTGCATTGACAGTAAAATTCAGTTGAGTTTGGTGCACAGTTTCCACACCAAATATAACTGGTGATCAGTCACTGTAGCTTTCATGTCAATCATGAAACATACATAAAGCTGGCACCTTTTTCTAAAAAGGGAAAGGAAACTTTGGAAATTTTCCCTTTCTGAGCTTGTCTGAAGTTGTGCAATTGCAGAACACACAGATCTTCACAGTCAAACAGGAGTTGAGAGAGAGGAAGAGAGGAAGAGAGAGACAGAAAGAGCCAGAGAGAGACAGAGAGAGGAGGAGGAAAAGAAGAAAGGGGAGGAGGAGGAGAAGATGACAAAATAATACAGGACTTTTCTGTAGCACCACAGAAAGTGTGAATAACCAACAAATTGATTTTTACAAACTACCTGGAGATGCCCTCAGCAAGTATCAAGAAGGGCATGAACACATATGGGAAATTATCTGGGGATGAGCAAGGTTCTTCATATGTAAGCATGTTGACTTTTGAAAAGTTCTTTGCATCCATAAATGCAAACTAGTATATAGCAAACTTGGGCAGCTATTTTTATAGCTCCAATCTTCAGGCTGCCGGAATGACACAGTCATCTTTCTGTTCTATAGACCTCCTTTGTGTGTCAAAGGACTGCCTATCATCTCTTCATTTCCCCCATTACTCTATCCTAACGGTTTTTGCTCTCATATTTGGATTCATATGTACAATGAGTAAGAACTGGTGAATTTATTGGTAATGAGAGGCTAACTTCTTTATGGCAATTATCCTCACTGTTTTCTGCAAACACAGTGATTCGAGGTGAACCAGACCATTAGTGCATTCTAACTTTCTGTAAAATTTTGTAAAAATTAAGATATTGACTCTGTGGCACTGTTTCTTCATTAACGTGTGTGTGTGTGTGTGTGTGTGTGTGTGTGTGTGTGTGTGTGTGTGTGTGTTTGTAGATCCCAAGGACAACTTGGGGTACTATCTTCAGGAAAGGCTGTCTACCTCCTTTCAGACAGGGTCTTTCATGGCCCTGAACTAAGCAAGGTTAGGTTGGCTGGCCAGTGAACCCAGGGCCCCATTTGTATCCTCTCTCCATATGCTGAGATTATAAAAGCCCTCTAGCTTAGCTTTTACATGGGTCTGGGCATCCAGTTCAGGTCCTTGTGCCTGTAAGACATGACATTACTGATTGAGATCTATCTCTTCAGACAACTTTAGCACTGACTCTTCCTAGCAACACAGCTTCAGCAAGTTTTTCCAAACCCAGCTTCATCATCTTTAAGGTGACAGATAATATCTGCTTAAGAGATATTGAGGGTTAGATTAATTTGTGTATCTCAGAACAGTGTTTGAGAATGAATGCTCAATAAGCTAGTTATCTTTAATAGGTTATTTTATCTATTCAGTATCTAAGGAATATAACCCCTTAATCATTTAATTAATATCTATACAAAGTATATAACTTTAGCATTAATCATGCTTTTATAACTGATTATTTTAAGTATATAAAGGTAATTTGAACTAGTGATAAGGACATGCCCACTTTAGTCACTTATTTTTTATAAATAAAATTCTGTATGAAATGGTTTTATACCAGATGAACTTATCAAAACACAGATATAGAAATTAAGTATACATTTCTCTTATTTATAATACTTTTTCCACATTTTAATTTAGTAGTCTCTCCATCTTGCAGTTTAAAGTAACATCCTTGGGCTGTCACTCCAACCTTAGAAATTAATTTTCACTTTCAAAACTTAGAGTTGTCACTGGACAAACTGCAGATGTAAAAGTTTGCCCCTAATAAAAGGCAATGTGGTTTACTTATGCCTGGAGCACTGCCTTATTACTTGAGGAAGTTGCAGAGACTCTACGGTTGACACTGTGGCCACATTCCTAGTTCTACTGCCAGTAGAAGCTCAGTTTTGGGTCTGTATGTAATACCTTTTGATTCTTGTTACCCGGCTTCTCTGAGACCTGTGTCTGCCTAACATTCAGGCATAAACGCGCACGGGGTACCACAAACCAGCAGGGAACTGGCCTCTGTGGACCCTGAGTTTCTTCCGTGGTTCCTCTTTCTTCTGGCACTCCATCAGACACATTTCTTCGGGCCCCTCACATGGCCGCAGTGGAGCCAAGCACTCATTACCTGTGGCTACGGTAAATCTAATTCCCTTTTGTACTGTCTTTCCCATGTTCCTTGACCATGCCCTCTGCCCTCCTCTCCACTTCCCCAGAATTATGTCTCTAATACATCATCGGCACATAACACTTTTTTTTTAATCACTCTACTTGCAGGGTAACTCAGGATAAAATGTAGTTTTTTTTTTTTTTCATGAAAAATGTTATCAGACTTAAAGTTGCCATGATTGGAATGATAAAATAAATAATGTGGGAAACATTAACAATTCTTTGAAGCAATTTAATTCTTAGCTTTTGGAAAAAATATTCTAATTGCAGGTGTTCACAGAAATAGGATATATGCATAGAGTGTCTCTTACAATAAGTGCTGTACAAACATGGTTGTCACACCCATGTCAGATGTATTTGTGCATCAAAATAGCTGCCTGTAAACATGGGTTCATGAAGGTAGTAAGGAGTCTTATTCAGTTTTCCAAAATCTCCTACCATACTTTACCCTTAGAAATAACATAAAGGGAAACAGGGAAGAGTAAGAAAGGAAGCAAGCTGAAACAGCGTTTACCAAAGGTAAAGTGGGTTAAAGAATTTAAACAATAGTATTCTCTTCTCTCAGCCTTGAGGGAACCATCAGCTGGGTAACTGGAAAGGAGTTTCCTAGCTTGGAAAACTTCCAGGACTGGTGTACTTCTTATGAACACACCTTCCAGAGAGGGTCCTTGGCCAAAGTGCAAGGTTTTGGGGGAGGACACACCAGACACACAGGTAAGGTGGGGAGGAGGAGGACGTGATGCAGAGTGATTTCACAGGAATCCTAGGTTTATATTGGCCAGGGATTAGCATACAAATAGTCAGCTGCCAAGTGGTTGATGGGCACAGAACCAATTGTGGTTGAGGTGAAGAATATTGTTCCTGTGTCTCTGCTTTCCACCCCAGGCATTGGAAACTCAGACAGTGTTCTTTAGAGATGCTCCCTCTGAGGCATTCCACAAGAAAGAGAATTGCAGGGCAACCTGCTAGACGATACAGACAGTTCCAGCCTTGGCCATTTCTGTCCAGAGTGGGATCCAGTGTGGAAGCCATTAAGACATACTTTTGTCTTTCTGAGAAGGCTACAGAAATGATACCATATGCTACATAAACAAGCTGATAGCTCTCTTCATTTCTTTGTATTTCACTTAGCGTAATGCCCCTGAGATTCATCCAAGTTTTTGCAGCTTTCCAACATCATTTGTGAGTATTCCACAGAAGAGATGAACACAAACTTCACCTAAACATGTTTCTGGAGACCAAATCTAGAGCTTGCCCATGCCAAGCACATAATCTACCCCTGAGTTGCAATCACAGTCCTAGAGTTATCTTCATCTAATGTAGGATATTTAGTTGTCTCCAACTTGGGCCATTGCAGTGAATATTCATGTACAGATTTTGGCATGACATAAATTTTCATTTGTTTGGGGGCAATACTCCCCAGCACAATTACTGGGTCACATGGCAAATTCATGCTGAATTTTACAGAAACTGCTTGACCATTGTCCAGAGTGGTCGCACAGTTCTGTATTTCTACTTAGCAATTTATGAGTTCCAGTAGTTTTCATTTTAGCTATTTTGTTATTTCAGTGTGGTTTTAATTAGCATTATCCTAATGGCTGATGATACTGTACATCTTGTTACATACATACTTGCCATTTGCATGCCTTTTGCCCAGTCTCTCTCTCTCTCTCTCTCTCTCTCTCTCTCTCTCTCTCTCTCTCTCTCTCTCTCTCTCTCCCTCTCCCCTCCACCTTCCTCCCCAGAGATAAAGTTTTATTCTAGTTTAGTCTGGCCTAGAAATCTATAGAATCCAGGGAGTCTCAGACTTGTGCAATCATTCTGCCTCAGTCTTCCAAATTCTGGGATTATAGATAAGAGCTACCATATCCAGATGTTTGCCCATTTTCTAATTAGACAATATATCTCATATGTGTGTAAAGACAGATTCAGAGGAGGAATCTCACAATTCCAATTAAGTTTGAATTTCAGCTAAATAACAAGTAATTTTTAGAGCAACTATATCCTTTGCAACACCTGAAGCACATTCACACTAAAACACTTATACTAAGAAATTCAGGTCTGACTGGTTGGCCACTTGTAGTCAGGTGGGAAAGTAAGTATATAAATGTTATTTTTTGTGTACATGTTCTCACACATACATATTGTTGCCCATGTTGTTGACCATATTGTTTAAATAAAATTCCAGCAAGCCCACAGCAGAATAAATCACCATTTTGT